TGTATTTTATATGAATACTACCTTATGACAAATGAGATGTTGTAGAAAGGGGGTCCCTGTATCATAGATTGGAAGGGGTATGAGACCTTTGCACAAGCCCTGGTTAATAGGGAGGTCCAGTTTGTTGTGTAAATAGAAACCAAAACAAAGTATGCTCATATTTTCTAATTGAATTGTCCACCTACATTGCATATGATCCATTATTGTATATAAATAGGTTACAATAAAATTTGTATTTTATATGAATACTACCTTAAGAAAATTGAGATGTAGTAAAGTGGGGAAGGCCCCTGTGTTATAGATTGGGAGGGTAGAGACCTGCTACCAGATACACAGCACCCTCTTCTTCAGATGTAGGCTGGCTGTTGTAGTCATTAAAGATGGTTCATTTAATTTTCCTCTGGACTTTTTTGCTTTGCATTATAGTAAACAATCCCTTTTCCATTGCCTGTGATTTTTCTTTTCAAAAATGGGTTGTTTTTTTTTTTTTTTTTTCACTTGTGATTGAGCAGAGAATTGCAAATACATATCCAAGTGTTATCAAATGCCTTACAGCAATCCTACATGATATCTGGAGCATTTCTGCTATGTCATATAACCTGGATTATTTTTGATCAGCATTTCAATTTGGTTATCATCAACAATGGCAGGTTATTCAAACATACATAATGAAGGGGCACCCAAGTTCTATTCGCCCAGGGGTATCTGATGGCCTAAATCTGCTCCTGTATAGGTTCATTTCTTTATATCTACATTTTATTAGTAGTTCATTTCTGTTCAGTAATTTATTTAAAGTTTTGAAACTATTAGTTTGTAATTCTGTCAGTAGAGTCAACAATTTTTACTATTTGCATTGCAATGTAGTTCTTATTTCATTATTTAGCATTTAATGATAGTTGAGATATTTTGTCTTTTTGTTCCTATATATATATATATATATATATATATATATATATATATATATGGTGTATTTAATCAGCAAATGTTCTCTAAGGCCAATGTTATGAAAAACGAAAAACATTTTGTGTCAGTTAATTCTGTTGATCAACTTTTCTAAATTATGAATAATCATTCTTGGATAAGTAGAAAATTTTATCAGAAATTGTCCAAAGTTCATTTTGGAAGAAATATGGTCCAATATGGAGTAGAGGTGATGAATATAACATCAATCAGCTAAGTGACAAATTTTATATTTGTATTAATTTTATATAATAACAATAGTTTTTGTTCCATTCTCAAGTTATTCAACATCACTTGAGAATGGAACAAAAACTTTAATTTTAAGTTAAATTTAAAGTTCAGTTTTTAATTCCAAAACATGGTAATTTCTGTGTTGCCATGAATACATATTTTTAAATAATATATATATATATATATACACACACACACAGTATACCAATATATGAGTTTTTTGAGATATGACCCAGAGTTTGGCTGATTTTTTACCTTGAGATATGAGCTGAATTTTAAGATACAAACAAGTTTCAGTTAAGCATTGCCTAGTTAGCACAGCAAGTGCCAAGCTTTAAGTGTATTTCAACTCTCAATACACATGTTCACCTCGTTCTGGAAGGATCTCTGTTGTCTTTTTGCTGTTATTTTATAAAATTCCTTTAGTGACAACATACATCTGAAGAAAGTAAGTGTAAAGAGCAGCGGTGAAAAGTTGGAACACATGATTTATCTTGAGATAAAGTGGGAAATTATAAAAAAAACATGTGTAATGGATTTGGTGAGACAGCATGGGTTGTTTGACATCGATGATAAATAAAAAATTATAAAATTTAAAAAATTAGTTACAGTAATGGATAAAATGTAAATGTTTTAAAATTTTTTTTAGATTAAATGATAAAGTTAATTTTTGGTATCATAGACTAGGCTAGCCATTGCTAGGCTAATCATCATTGTCCCCACTGTCCCTCTCTTGCCTCCACCATTTGGCCTATGACTCGTCTGAACTTCATGGTTCAGTACAGTTTATTTCTTTACAATTTGTTTATTCCCTTTTTTTTATTGTTTGTAAACTACTTCTTTTATTTATTCATACATTTTTGCTTGTAAGAAACCTACAAATACAAAGATAGGTGCGAGTTTTAAGAAAATAAAAGTGATTTTATAGGGGTCTGGAACGGATCAGAAGTATTACCATTAATTTTAATGGGGAAAATTGATTTTTAAGTGTTTTAACTTAATTAAATAAAAAAAAAAAAATTATAGACAGAACTTGTCTATATTATTTAACCAAGCATGTTTGAGAGAAGTATTGCTGCCAAAATACACCTTATATAATGTTTCTAGATATAAGAATTGCCTGAAATTGTACAGGGAACTATATCTGTTGTTCACCTCTTAACAGGCTCCAGGCTTCTGTCTCTGCCCATTTTTATCTACATGCCAATTTACTTATTCTGTTCTAAATGTGCCTCTCTATTGATTTATTGATGCATCTCGGAGTCAGCATTAGTTCTGTCCCGTATCCCTATACTGACTTCAAGATGTTCGACTTGCAGCCATAACTCAAAAATCAATCTCAAAAACCAGCATACCATTTATTTCTTGTCAAATCAAGTTTATTGATATTACCATATTTTAAAATATTGTGAACATGCACTGATTTATATTTTTATTTATTTATTTTTGTTGTGTTCACATTGAGGACAAAAAGATTCTTATTTTGTTTACTCACATATATCTATTATGTTGAGTCATAAATTGTTTACTCACATATAACTACTGAGTCATAAATTGTTTACTTACATATAACTATTATGTTGAGTCATAAATTGTTTACTCACATATATCTATTATGTTGAGTCATAAATTGTTTACTCACATATATCTATTATGTTGGGGCACCTCAAGGTGGTGTAATAGTTAGCAAGCTTGTCTCGCTAGAACAATTACGACTGAGTAGTGAGTTCGATCCTCACTGGGTGCCTCTTACTTTCAGCCTTGTGCCACATCCAAGCTACGCTTGGAAAATCACTATATCTATTATGTTGAGTCATAAATAATTTAACTTCTTGTTTATCAAATTTATGCTTTAAAAAATAAAGTAAACTTGCACCTAACCTAAAGTGGAACTGATGCATAGCACCCTGTAATATTGTATACAAATTAGATAGACCAGTATAAATAGAGAACAACTGGTGAACATAGGGTGGCTATGCCTAGCAAACCTGATGGCTAGTCAGGACACAGAGAATTGTATTATGACTACTACTATGCAGAGAGGTATGCAAAACATAGCACACCCATTGCTAAGGATGCAGGTGAAATAGTTGGCTTCCTGTATCGCTCCAGCAAGTGCCTGACTCCTCTTGCTTATCCTCTAACTTTACAAGAGCTTGATCAGGCCAAAAATGAAGTATTTCTGTTATATTTGGGCGGGAGCTGCCCATACTTCACTCACCAGCTTTGATAGAGTTCAAAAGTATCTCCGAGCCCTTGTGGGTGACAAATTCTTCTCCACCCACCAAACTCTCTCTCACAGGCAAGATGTGGCAAGCCTCTTGCTGCTCTGTTGCTACTTCCACAGAAAGTGCTTGGACAAACTACATTCCCTAGTCCTACCAGTTCAAACCTTCACAGCAGGGACACGCCATGCCACTTATATAGTAGCAAACCACCGACATTCCATCAGTGAGAAGTAAGTTCCACTCAAACAGCTTCTTCTCATGAACCACTGCCCTGTGGAAACCACTTCCAAGAGGATGTTTCCCCATTCAATACAATCTTAACCTGTTCAAGGCTAAGGCTAGAGTTCTAATGTAACCCTCTATGTTGAGTGGTCCTGAACCTTGGAAAGAATGAACCTTACTGTAAAAAAAAACAAAACAAAGAAAACAATTACATTTCATTCAAATATATATATATATATATATATATATATATATATTTTAATTGATATCACTCCAAGCAGGGCAGTAAAGTCACTAAAATGCAAGGGGTTACAAGGTGTGGAAGAATTAGGAACAGAAAGATTAATGAGCTGGGATTGGTTGGTTGGTTGGGTTTTATGGCATATCAACCACTGTGGGTCATTTAACCCCAAATTAATATATATATATATATATATATATATATATATATATATATATATATATATATATATATATATACATACACACACACACACACACACACATATATATATATATATATATATACATATATTAAATATACAGTACTATTAAACATATAGCTGGCAACATTACTTTTTCAAAAGCATATAGCTGGCAACATTATTCTTTCCAAAAAACGTATAGCTGGCAACATTATTATTTCAAAAACGTATAGCTGGCAACATTATTTTTTCCAAAAAATGTATAGCTGGCAACATTATTTTTTCTGAAAAACGTATAGCTGGCAACATTATTTTTTCCAAAAAACGTATAGCTGGCAAAATTATTTTTCCGAAAACATTATCTGAAGCCTTGTTGTTGGACGTAGTTTATCGTCATACCCAGGACGCAATGAGCAGGGAGAAAAAAAGTAATTAGGAGGACAGTAGATAGCAATCGCTATTACATTTAATTTTTTGCAGATTTAAAGTTAGCTGGAAAGCATGGAGTCAGAAGGAAGTTCCACAAGCAAGAAGTGTGAGAAAAGAAACTATTAGCATAGAACTCCCAGCTACATCTGGAGCAGCTCAACTGTAAATTGCTAAGATTTTGATGCCAGTCTAGTACTGCATTTAAATTCATAGAGTCCAAGTACCATTGTGAAGAGCTCATCTGAACAATTACCATGAAAGTATTTATAAAAAAGGCAGAGAGGCAAACTTATAGAAGTAGGTAAGTAACTGAAGCTGAGCTGCCAAATCAGGACCAGGTAGGGAGATAATAATGATTTAGAAATACAAGTCTTACTAATTAACCCATAGCTGGGGGTAGAAGAGGTGAATTCTTACCTTTCCTAAGCGTATTTGTACATAAGTGATTATAATGAACCCAACTGGAATTCCAAGCCATTATCCATCACATCACAGGCACATCTACGCACTTAGTATTTCCAAGTGGTCACCCATCCGGGTATTGACTAGACTTGATGCTGTTTAACTTCAGTGATCATACGAGAACTGGTGTTTCAACATGGTATGGCTGTAAGCCTGCATTTAGTGTTTCATTGCATTTAAAGAACTCTAAATATAATAATACCCTGATGATTCCACCACATGCACAATATTACCTTTCTCCAAGGGAGCTCAGCTTTTAGGGGTCAGTTGTAGGGATTTATCCTTGTCAAACCACTGCTTTTTATGCTGAATATTGTCATATTTAACCCATTTTTTATAATCTGTGAGATATATTTAATGAAGGCTTACTTAAAACAATGCATTTATCATTGCAATTGGTTTTCAAAAACAAATTATTTATTATCAAACTAATATTTAAAGTTCCATCAATTTTATAAGATCTTTTATTTATGAAAAATTATAGCATCAATATTCAGTCATCAAAGTAATTTCCCTGGTCTTCTATGACCTTTTAGTTATGAGGTCAATGTAAAATTCAGCTAAATTCATGGCTTCATTATTCAGTCATCAAACTATTAAGTTACATAACTTTAAGACATTTTTTATGTTTATACGTTCTTTTTATAGATACAAATATTTAAGTAAATGCTCTGTTTATAATAAACAGTATTAACAACATTTACTGGCTTGAATGTCTGAGAAATTTTCATAGAAAATATGCGTCCTCCAACAGGAAGCAAACCTGTATCTTGTATGGAACTGTCATATAGCCTGACGTGCTTTTACCAATTTAGTATGATTTTGCTATAAAATATTAAATATAAACCAAATTTTTATTTTACTCTATGATTGGATGTCCCAAGCCGTCACACCCTCTGCACTCCCTTCTACATACTACTGACTGCGAATAAAGGAAACTGAAAAAACATTGCTCTAGAAAAAGAGTAATAAAAGGAACAGGATTCAAGAAAACAGATGACGATAATTGATGTTGTCAAGTCAAGACACTATTAGAATAGAACTTAACAATTTTAACAGTAAAATGATGAGACCTAGCTGCCAATTTAGTACTACACTTAAATTCTGTGCTGGAGCTGTTCAGTCTTCATTTTCCAGCCTTGACAGAGTTCAAAAGTGACTTATTCAATTTATGTATTTTGACTTGTAATAAGATTAATACAAGAGAAAGAATACACATTTAAAGAATTTGAGAGTAAAATATACAAAAAACATAGTAAATTAACTTTAATAAGATAAAAGCTACTTGGGGCAGTGGCAGAATGTTCATATAATGATGAATTCACATCAAGTGCTCAAACTGGTTGCCATTCTGTTCAATACACTTTTCATATCTTGAAGAAATAGACCTACAAATGTCCAGTACCATTTCCTCTGGTATTTGAGCACATTCTTCTTCAATTGCTACTCTCATTTCAGCAATTGTTTCAAGTTTCCTGCTGTAAACTTTGTCTTTTAGAAAACCCCACAAAAAGAAGTCCAAGGGTGTCAAATCTGAGGATTCAACTGTCCCTCTTCTTCCAATGCATTTGTTTTGCATATTTTCATCCATATAAGTTCTCACATCACGGTAATGTATTAACTATTAATATTTAAAGAGTGTATACATTATTTTGGGACACCCTGTACATTTAAGCCTCATTCAAAATAACTACCTACCTTGAGTGACTTTTGGGCCTTATATTGGGTAAACAGTAATAAAAAAACAAGTTCTATGCTAAAAGTTTTTCTATTGCACCTCTTGCTTGTGGAACTCTCTTTCAACTTCTTGCTTTCCTGTCAACTTTGATCTTCAAAAATTTAAATGCAATGTCAATTGTTATCTCTATCTTCTTAATTCTTGTTCTTTTATTGTCCTCTCTCTTTAATAATAGTTTTTCTCATATTTTCTAACACTTAGTAACCTCTTACATCATAATGGCTTTATTGCTTTTCTTGGGGTGAAACGATTAAAAAAATTCCTTGGTAGAGGCAAGAATTCCTCTATTCTCCCTCTAGATATGAGTTAAATAGCAGGGTAGACTAGTTTCTCTAGCTTTGAATGGCAAGCAATCTAATAAAAAGAATAAAACCCTGAATTTCAAACTATGAAGAAGGGAACAGAGAAACTACTCCACTATTTTTCCCAAGAATGAATGGCAGTTGAAAGATAAAGAAAAATTGGTAGTCATAATCACCTACATTCAGAAGAGTCATATCAAAAAAATTCTTGAAACACAATTTACCTCAGTTCTAAATGGAAGCCAAGAAAGCTGAACTGAAACCCAATGTATTTATTATCAGTTCTTTGAGTCTAAATTCCTTGAAGAACCCTCCCCACCACTATTTATCTTGGACTCTAAACTTAGAAAGTAACAAAGCGATAAAGAGATGCTATGACAATGGAAACTAAATCCATGTTCTCTCTTACTTTCTCTCTTTCTTTCTTTCTTTCTTTCTTTCTTTCTTTCTTTCTTTTTTTCTTATGCATCAGTTCTTGCCCTGAATTTTACTAAACATTCTAACCACCATATTGGAATCACACTTAAAGTGTTTAGGCATACTTTCAAGAGAGATGATATATATGAAATTGTTATTTTTTGTTAAATACTTCATAATATTAAGGTTTCAAATGTGAATTTTCCTCCTGGTTATATAAAAGTAGTAATTATTGGGATCTGTTTATTACTTGATAACAGTAGAAAACTGATCCCCACTTTATACTTTGTAGAATCTTATATTAATACTAGTTTATTAGTGTCATAAAAATAGCTGCATATTTTATTAAGATGTTATTACTATTATATTTTTATATGTTAGACTTTAAATATATTTTTCCCAATTATTATATTAATGTGTAGTAATTAGGTGGGGGATGTGTTTACTAGTCTATAACAATAGAAAACTGTTCCCCCATTTTATGCCCAATAGAATCTTGTATTAATACTTATTTCTGCCATGAAAATGATGGCATATTTTATCAAGTTTTTATTATTACATTATTATACATGGGTCTTTAAATTTTTTTTCCCAATTATTATATTAATATGCAGTAATATAGCGGCCAGTTTATTATTTGATAACAATTGAAAACTGATCCCCCATTAATACTTGTTAAAACAACAAAAAAAATTAGTTATGGTATAATTTGTATCTGGAAAAATCCATTGTTATTTTACAAGATTTGTTAATGCCATATTCACTTGCTAAAAAAACAAAAATCATTCTTAGAATCCAAAAATATGTTTCAGCTTTAAATAACCAAAAAAAGGTTGATAAACCGTAAAAACCAGTCAATCAAACACTCATGCCAGCATATTTTATTAAGTTCTTACTTTATTAGATTTTTGTACATGAGTCTTTAAATATATTTTTCTTAATTATTATATTAATATGTAGCAATCACCTATGTTGTCCAAGTGAAAGGTAGTGGCCAATACAACTTGGCACCAACAATATCACAGGAGTTGCCAAAACAAAGTTGAACATAACATTGGAAATGTCTTAGGGACAGTAGCATTGGATTTGTCTTCAGGATTTACTCTTGAAGACTTTCCTATGATTGGGTATGGCCACAAGGCAGTGAAGGTTTAAAATCAGAGTTTTCCTTTTTTTTAGAGGGACTATCCTTCCGGGCTGATAAGTTTCATCTACCTGAAGTATATAGATACATGCATAAATGCATATATATATGTTTTACACTGGATGTCGAAGTAAACAGTTCATCATCAAATGTACCAAATATATTATTATATATATTTTAAAAATAATAATAATAATAGAAATAAATAAATAAGAAAATAATAAAAGTATAAAATTATCATCAAATATATAAGGACGTTTTATTATTATTGTTGTTGTTAAAAATATTTGGAAGATAAATAGAACAAATTGATTCATAATAAACAAAACAAAATAATGTTATATACAGCTTTAACTGATATTGTACTGCCATCAAGAGCTGAGGCATAATTTTTTTGAGCACAGATCCATGATCTCTCAGAACTGATGGATGCCAAACACAATATGGGGGTTTAGTTTATTACTCGATAACAATAGAAAATTGATCCCCCATTTTATGCCCAGTGTAATCTTATGTTAATACTAGTTTACTTGTGTCATGAAAAATGATAGAATATTTTATTAAGTCCTTGCTATCATTACATTTGCACATGTGAGTCTTTAAATATTTTCCTACTTATTATTGTTGTACGCTGCTCTTTTATAAAGATGATCTTTTCAATTTCCAGGCATATAAATATTTTAGAACAGTCCACCATTGTCATAATAGAGAAACTGTGTGGCATCATCAGCTTAAAAGAGATGACTTTAATAAAGCAAGATCTTGCAGACATTAGACAGAAAACCACTTAGCATGTTATTGTGATATAACAAATTTTGTTTTGAAAAAAATGGTCAACCATTGTATTTCTGGAATAAAATGCTTTTAACGCAGTCTTTAATTAAAATGTTCAATATCAAGAGATAGAGCATTAGTAGCAACAAATAAAATAAAATTTTTCCTGAGTTGGAGTCTTGTAGATATGGTATCCACTGATCAGGACATTTGTAAATAAAACTGAATTGATATATTTTTATAATAAAGAATCTATATTTATGAACACATTTCCCGTGGTACAAATATTGTTATTATCATTTGTTATTATTTTGTTATGTTATTATTTGTTATTATTATCATTTGTTATTATTTTGTTATGTTATTATTTGTTATTATTATCATTTGTTATTATTTTGTTATGTTATTATTTGTTATTATTATCATTTGTTATTATTTTGTTATGTTATTATTTGTTACTATTACCTAAGCATTGAAAAGGTAAAAATTCAAAGAAGAGTTTACAATGTTATCGGCCTTGATCAGGCATCTCAACTTCAGTCACTTTCTCATCAACATGATGTGGCTTCCTTTAGTCATTACTACACATATCTTCATGGCAACTGATCAGAAGAGCTTTTTTTCCTGGTGCCCCAAATACATGAACTTAAGCATGCTACTAGTTTGGCAACTAGGTCTCACTGTTTTAGTCTTGAACTAGCTTTGTGTAACCGCCACTTTTACTCTAACAGTTTTTTTTTCTTGTCTATATTTCTGAGATGAGGTATTATGTACAGTATTTACATTATTCGGACTATTGTCCTAGCTTTGTCACCATATTTATTACAATGTTTCAGCCATTGTACACTCTGACCTTCTTCAGGTGGTTGGAATGTCAAACTGAACCCTTTATTTCGCTCACTGGTGTAGACTAGAACGTGGAACTAGAACAGTCTTCCCCAGTGAGCAAAATAAAGGGTTCAGTTCGACATTCCAACCATCTGAAGAAGGCTGGAGTGTACAATGGCCAAAACCTTGTAATAAATATGGCAACAAAGATGAATAATGTAAATAGTTTTTTCCTGCACTTCTCACTTGTGGAACTCCCTCCTGATTTCTTGCTTCCCTGAAAACTACAATCTTCAAAAATTTAAATGCAATGTCAATTGCCATCTTCTGTCTTCTTGAACCCTGTTCCTTTTTTGTCCTTTCTTCAATCATCCCCACTAAAGTCTTGTCATTTCTTTTTCATAACCCCCTATTTTTAATGGCATTGCTTAGGGTGAAATGATTAAAACAAAAATTCCTGTCATCTGCTGTTAACAGATTAACATTAATCACATGATTGTAATTAAGTTCCTTTGTTCCTTAGCAGAGACTTGAAGCAACAAATACGATTCTACAGAAGGATGTTGAGAATACCCTCGAGGGAGTTTGTGAGTAACAAGGAAGTTTTAAGGAAAACTGTGTTGAACTGCTGTGTAATATCAATCCTATATGGCAGTGAATGCTGGACAATTTCTTCACAGGTGAAGAGAAGTTGAGGTAACAGATGTGGTTCAAGATTTTGAGAATACCATAGACTGAGCATGTTAGCAATGAGGAAGTTTTAAGGAAATAGCATGCTGAACTGCTATGCAATATCAATCCTATATGGCAGTGAATGCTGAACAATTTCTTCACAGATGATGAGACAGCAGATGTGGTTCTACAGAAGGATATTGAGAATACCATGGAAAGAGCATGTGAGTAATAAGGAAATTTTAAGGAAAATGGGAACCTAAAGTACATGCACTTAGGAGGAGAAAGAGACAGCTGAAATTTCTGGGACATAATAAGGAAAGATGGCTTGGAGAATTTGACACTCACAGGATATACTGAAGGCAGAGGGAAACATTGCTTAGAGCTATATAGGATAGGAAGTTGTGAAGAGCCATGATTGACCATGTTATGAAGGAACATGGGATATAAAAGATTTTTTATTTTTTATTTACTTAAATACTGCAAAAATGTGCTTGTAACCTAATAGTTAAACAGCATGGAGAATTGGAGAACTGAGTTCAAATCCTGACAGGGACAGTTTGCATTTATTTTGCCCTTGATTTATTTAAGCAACGTTGAGCCTTGTAAGTACCTAGATGGATGACCACTTGTGAATACCAGGTTCTGTAAGTTCGGATGTGTAGGTGGTGTAATAGATAATGGCTCAGAATTGGAAATCGGGGAGCCAAGTTCTAATTCAAGTCAAGTTCGTTATATTTGCTTATGCACAAATACTCTTGGGAAAGATATGAATCCACCTCATCTCACCAACTATGGATTAATTAGGATTTGTATTAGTAAATCATTATCTCCCAAAAAGTCTACCCCCGGCAAAAAAAAATTTCTGGCTTTAAATAACTTGCAAAAGGTTGATAAATCATAAAAAACAATCAATCAATCACTTACCTGGAGCAAAATGGCATATATGTGAATGAATAAATATATATGCAAATATTGAAATTAACTGAAAAACACTACAAAGCTTTGTTCTGACCCAAGTGTTTAATTGTTTGTTTTCACATCTTATCAGATTCATCATGAAATTGACAGTAACATTAAGGAGCTTATAAAGACAGGGGTTTAAATGTTTTTGAAGGCTATTTTAAAGGAAGCTTTAAATAATTTTACATTTGACTTTGTAGTGACTCTATCCCTGCTATTAAGCATTCATTTAAAAACATGTCAGTTGAATCCATTGTTTGAATGACAATTTTTCTTGCCAGAATTTATCTTGCATACATATAAGTCTGCCATGCTTTGAATCTTTCTGCTACATATGGTCTGAGACTCTTACTATATATTTAGAAATTCTTGATAAAATCCAAAGAACTTGCAATGTTTATTGGTCCTGACCTAGCATCTTGGCTTCAGTCACTTTCTCATCTTTGTAATGTAGCTTCTCTGTGCCTTTTCTATAAATACTTTTGTAGTGATATGTAAATTAGGTGCTGTATAAAAGGTAGTATCGCTATATTTACAGGAGATTTATCTTCTCTTGACAATACTACATCTGACAGAGAGAATACCTATCATAATCATATGGCATTGCCAATCGGTTATTTAACCACAATGGAGGATCCTGAATATCTAGAAATCTAACTTAGGTGTTTCACAGTGTTGGCAAAGTAGTTATTTTCCAAGCGTAGTTTAGATGAGGCACAAGGCCGAAAGTATGGGACACCCAGTGAGGATTGAACTCACTACTCAGTCGTAATTGTTCTAGCTAGACAAGCTAGCTAACCATTACGCTAACTCGAGGTGCCCACAGTTTTGGCAAGAGTAAAGAAGTTAAAGAACACCAAAGCTAGTGGAAGAGAAAATGAAGTTACAGATTTGTTTTTGGCATCAGCAAGGTGTGAGGCCATAAAAAATATCTCCATCATGGTCTATTCCAAAATGTTGGAGTATGAAGAAATTACTGCCATCATAAAATGTACGACCAAAAAAAAAAAAATAAAAATAATTGGTCATAGTGGAAAGAACTAAATTTCTTGAAAGTAGGCAGAGGTCAGGCGAAACTATACAGCAACTGAAAGAAGCATTGAGATATTGTGAATTTGAAAGAATGGGTTCAGAATAAATGTCTATCAAAGACATGCTAACTGTGGTAAGACTGATTGAAGGAATGTTTGACATCTCATACAAGTGTAAAATTCTAGAGTGGCTTCAAACTTATGAATCTGGAAGCAGGTGGGGAGTTCTTACAACAATTGGAATTGATTCAAGAGTTTAATGCCTCTGAAGGCAGCATGGAGACTTACAGTGCTATTAAAAGCTTACTTAAATGCTGATATTGCAATAAGGAACATGAAAAGTGCAAAAATAAGTGTCCAGCGTTTTGGAAATGGTGTTTTAAGTGTACAAAGGGGAATCATTTCCGGATGGTATGCACATATGTAAAGCAAGTGGAAAATGTAGATCCTCCAACTGAAACTATGGAAGTATTTGTGATAAAAGCACAGCATAAATATAGAGAAATGGTGAAGTTGAACAGAGTATCTTTACTCATGCAAGTGGATACCAAAAGTGATTTTATTTTGTTGCCAAGGAATTTTTAGGAATGAATGGGTAGACTAAATGTAAATAAAAGTAATCTTCAGTTGAAACAGTTTGATGGGTCAATCATCAAAATTTTAGAATGCTTTGAAGGCATATTTGAGACAAAAAATAGATTTGAAATAATACCCATCATAGTGGTGGAAAACATCAAAAACCACAGTCTTTTAAGAATTGATGTGTGAAGAGTGGATACATTGAAGATGGTAAATTCTGTAAAGCACCGGAGGTTGGATTATTAAGGGATTAAGTTGAGCATTAGGCTTAAAGAAATCAGTCAATCCATGTAATTTCAAGCCCAAAAAGTTCCTGTTCACATGCTACCTTTGATGGTTGCTAAACTGAACAAAATGGTGGAACAAAGAATATTAGAAAAAGTCACCCAGGGTAGTAGCATTTAAACTTCAACCATTGTGGCAATATGCAAGCCCAATGGAGATTTAAGAATTAGTGGCGATTATAAGGTCAGCATTAATCACCAGATCTGTTCAGATTCATTCCCATTGCCAAACATTGAAACAGCGTGCCATGAGTTTGCTGATATGAAATCCTTTGCTAAAGTTGACCTTAAATCAGCATATAAGAAGATAAAAATTGATAGCAAATTTTAAGAAGTCACTACAATGAACACCCCTATAGAATTAATTAGATGGACTAATTTGCCATTTGGAGTAAAAACATCAATCACATTTTCTAAAAAGCCATTGAAGAAGTTTTAGAGGAGGTTAAAAATATAAATATATATCAAGACTACATTGGCTTTGGTGTGAGCAATAAAGAGCTCAAAAGTAAAACAGAGCAAGTTTTGAGAAAATTAAATAGCATGGATATGACAATTAATCATGATAAATGTTAGTTTAATTGTGAAAAAAAATTTTTACCTAGGATATCAAATATCCAAAGACAGTATATCACAAGATGATAAACTTATTAACAAAATATCAGCAACAGCTGCACCCAGAAAGAAAAGAGAATCTTCTTTAGGATTAACCAATTTCTATAACAGATATCTACTGTGATATAGTGACCTTGTGAAACCCATTTAAAAAAATAAGGAAGAAGAATACCGAGTTTCAATGGACAAAAAGACAGGAGATTGCTTTTGAGAAATTAAAAAGGCACTCATAAACAAAACAGGTGTTAAAATCTTCGACCCATCAAAAAAGATGGACATTAATTACTGATTCCATTACTGATTGTTGCAGGGGATCACTCTGTAATTTACTTATCTAGAAAACTATTGTATCCTTAAAGAAGTTTACAAACAGACAAAGTTGGTACTCAAGTGAAAGGAACAGCAACATGGGCGTAGGTGAAAGAAAGAAAGGTTTATTGTAAAAGAGAATACACTACTGAAAGACAGGAAATTGCTTAGCAGGCTAGTAATTCCCAAAGCAAGTCTGCCAGGTATATCCTGTGCTTTCTATATATATCTACTGATGTAGTCAATCCACATATGTGATAGGGAGTGTGGGACATTCCATTACACCAAAAATTAACATTGACGAAGGCGAATTATTTGAATACTGAGAAGGAGGTATTGGCAATTCTATGGAGTACAGAAAGAGCTAGAAATTTCTTGCAGGGAAGGCAATTTCTATTAAAATTGGATCATAAGCCTTTGGAATTTATATTCAACCTCAGAAGAGAGTTGCTACACCTGCCAAGATACTAAGATGGGTGATTAAGCTTATGGGGTTTGACTTTGATATTGTATATATCAAAGGAAATAATATTCTGCATGTGGATACATTATCTCAGTTAAATTTTGAGAGTAAAAATGTTGAAATAAGGGGAAAATTGTGAGGATAGGATTTTGCACTGGATAGAAATGAACGTATTATCCATAAATCAGCTTAGGTTGGGAACTAGGTAGGATTCAGAATTGAATAGAATTATGAAGAGAATAAAGAGAAATACATCGAATAATTGCTCTATAGCTGAGAAGCCTGTGGCTTTCAATAAACCTTCAGTTAAATATCCTCATGTATGTGTATTAATATGATGTTGAGATATGTTAAAGTGTAGTTTCATCTACAAAACAGAACAAACTACACTTTACTATATCTTGATATCACGAAGTGATCATGGGCTTTTATTTAGGAGCCCTTAGAATCTGTAGACCCCAATTCCTGCCCAAAGAAGAGAAATATATAAAAAACACATTCAAATTCTTCTTATAGCCAAATTATTTCCTATGCAAAGACTACAAAATCCAGAGAAGAAAAATACAAAAATTCATAAAGTGTTATTAAAAAGTTTGGTGAATTTAAGGCATGAGATGGTTTTCTCACAGTAATCATGTTATTTATTTTTGGATTTGCCCTGTCAGTGGTGCCTAGAATATGTCAACTACTTAAGACACTCCCACCCAAAGATGGATACTTGAAAAATTTGGTATAATACTTACCAATATCTGCCCATTGGCATGTGCAAACTGGACAAATGCCTGCCTTTTTCAAGCCTTGTCTAAACTAAACTCATTCTTGCCTTTTTGAGCCTTGTGCAATCTAGACACATGTCTGCTTTTTTCAAGCCATATGTAAACTAGACCTGTGCCTGCCTTTTTCAAGTCTTGTGTAAACTAGACCTGTGCCTGCCTTTTTCAAGCCTTGTGTAAAGTAGGACCCGCGCCTGCCTTTTCCAAGCCTTGTGTAAAGAAGACCCACGCCTGCCTTTTTCAAGCCTTGTGTAAATAAGACCCACGCCTGCCTTTTTCAAGGCTTGTGTAAAGTAGACTCGCGTCTGCCTTTTTCAAGCCTTGTGTAAATTAGTCTCGTGCCTGCCTTTTCTAAGCCTTGTGTAAAGTAGACCCATGCCTGCCTTTTCCAAGCCTTGTGTAAAGAAGACCCATGCCTGCCTTTTTCAAGCCTTGTGTAAAGTAGACCTGTGCCTGTCTTTTTCAAGCCTTGTGTAAAGAAGACCCACGCCTGCCTTTTTCAAGCCTTGTGTAAAGTAGACTCGCGCCTGCCTTTTTCAAGCCTTGTGTAAATTAGTCTCGTGCCTGCCTTTTCTAAGCCTTGTGTAAAGTAGACCCATGCATGCCTTTTTCAAGCCTTGTGTAAAGTAGACCCGTGCCTGCCTTTTCCAAGCCTTGTGTAATAAAGACCCACGCCTGCCTTTTCCAAGCCTTGTGTAAAGTAGACCCGTGCCCGTCTTTTTCAAGCCTTGTGTAAAGAAGACCCGCGTCTGCCTTTTCCAAGCCTTGTGTAAAGTAGACTCAAGCGCCTGCCTTTTTTCAAGCCTTGTGTAAATTAGTCTTGTGCCTACCTTTTCTAAGCCTTGTGTAAAATAGACCCATGCCTGCCTTTTCCAAGCCTTGTGTAAAGTAGACCCGTGCCCGTCTTTTTCAAGCCTTGTATAAAGAAGACCCGCGCCTGCCTTTTCCAAGCCTTGTGTAAAGTAGACTCGCGCCTGCCTTTTTCAAGCCTTGTGTAAATTAGTCTTGTGCCTACCTTTTCTAAGCCTTGTGTAAAATAGACCCATGCCTGCCTTTTCCAAGCCTTGTGTAAAGTAGACCCGTGCCTGCCTTTTTCAAGCCTCGTGTAAAGTAGACCCGTGCCTGCCTTTTTCAAGCCTCATGTAAAGTAGACCCGTGCCTGCCTTTTCCAAGCCTCGCGAAAAGTAGACCCGCGCCCGCCTTTTCCAAGCCTCGCGAAAAGTAGACCCGCGCCGCCTTTTCAAGCCCTCGCCGAAAAGTAGACCAGCCGCCTTTTCCAAACCTCATGAAAAGTAGACCGCCGCCTTTTCAAACCTCGTGGGAAATGTAGACCAGCGCCCGCCTTTTCAAGCCTCGCGAAAAAGTAGACCCGCTCCCGCCTTTTCCAAGCCTCGCGTAAAGTAGACCCGCGCCCGCCTTTACCAAGCCTCGTGTAAAGTAGACCCGCGCCAGCCTTTTCCAAGCCTCACGAAAAGTAGACCCGCGCCTGCCTTTTCCAAGCCTCGTGTAAAGTAGACCTGCGCCCGCCTTTACCAAGCCTCGTGTAAAGTAGACCCACGCCCGCCTTTACCAAGCCTCGTGTAAAGTAGACCCATGCCTGCCTTTTTCAAGCCTTGTGTAAATTAGTCTCATGCCTGCCTTTTCCAAGCCTTGGGTAATCCAGACCCATAATTGATTTTATATCTATTCACTGTAATTTTTGTCCTATAAGACTTACATTCAACATTAAATAACCTAACAAGCTTTGATGCATCATTAAATTAGCCAACATAACCCAACTGAATTTTGAGGGATACATGAAATATCTAGCAAGATTGTAGAGGGGCAGAATACTGAGGAATTCAGCAGAAATGGATCAATTCAAATTTCTTGAACTTTTGGTAGCAAATTGTACACGTAAAACTATCTTTTAATTTACCCACAATTGTTTGTCTACTGAAAATTGAATTCATAGCAAGACAAAGAAGAATGAAAAGAAAAATCATTTGTTGTTGCAGAGATAAAATTCTGAGTCAGATTTAGTACAGATATCAATATTGAGTTTCAAATTTCCTGACTGAAGAATGAAAAATAAAACCATTGTTGATAACTCTTAAAAAAATAAAAACAAAAAAGCAAAACAAAGACACTCTCCACTTCAAAGATGGTAATCTTATATTTATGTCTTTTTGGAACTATATTCTGAGGGGATGTATTTCTGAAAGAATATAGATACAGTAGGGAATCAATACTAAGATGTAAGCTTCTTATAAAAGTCTTCAAGTGATTGTAGTTGTGTGTTCAGAATTAAATGTGATATAAAGTGACATTTTCAACTAATTATGGTTCTCCTGCCTTATAATGGTATGTAGCAAGATTCTGTTATACTTTTACTATGGATTCTTAGATTAGAAGACGACACTTCACTTCAGTTACTAATTTTGGATTGCGTACCGGAGAACTGTTTTTACAAAAGTTATCCTAATATAAATCCCAAGAGCCACTCAAGGTAGAGAATTACTGAATGAGGTGTGTGATATGAACATTTTAGGAAGTTGGAAGTGAAGATTAAGGATATGAAGGATAAATAATAACTGACTCTAGACTTGAAGAGAATAAGATTTTAATGTTTGGGAGAGCATCCACGTGGGAGTCTGTTCCACAAAGTAGCATTTCTTGAGAAGAAACTTTCTTATTGGAACATCCTTATCAGTGTAAGGAATGAAAGTGATTCAACATTGTGGACAAGACTAGATTTTGAGCATTGTCTAAAATTAACCATTAACATTTTGGAATTTCTTGATTTTCAGTTTCTCATAAGTTTCATTGATGGAATAATTTTGATAAACATAAGGAATATACAAACTCTGTGTGTGTCTCTTTCTCTCTTCATATATAAACAAAATAAAACTTTCAATCATCTCCTCTCTTTTCTTTCTTACTCTTTTTCTTTTTCTTTCTTTTCTTATGAAAAGAGGGTGTACCTTGGTTTTAAATTTCAATAAATTATCTACTAACCAGTTATTTATTAACACCTGATGAAATGTACTAATACACATCGAAACATGATTGCATTCATGTAGCATTTTTTTTTTATATATATATATATATATATATATATATATATATATATATATATATATATATATATATATATATATATATAGCAAATATATGGATATAGATCCGACAGTATGAAAAAAAAAAAACGTTTTCACAACATCGCCCACGTGACAATGACGTGATCATATTTAAACGGAACGCTGATCTTATATAAAAATTTCAGTTATCTGTTTGGATTAGTTGTGCTCTTATGTCCATCGTCTTTTGTGTTAAATTTTTATATGTTCTAATGTTAAATATGTTTAAATGAAAATGTCCATGAAGATGGTCTTAAATAGACTGAAACGTCCGACGTCGACTTTATATTAACATTAATACAGCATAATTGCATATTAAGATTTTTGTTTGTTTTTTCTGTATTTTTCTTCATATATATATATATATATATATATATATATACACACACACAAGGAAAAGGGGAACAAATGGAGTATAATTCCACTGTACATAACATTTAATTTAAAAGAGTGCTCATAACAGAGTAGAGCTAAATATTTTATATTTCCCTCTTAGAACTGAGGCCCTATTGAGTGGGTTACATATAACCACGTCTTTGGTATTGGGCATTATCTCCAATTTAGACCCCAACAAGGCTAGTGGTGGGGATGGGATACCAGCCGTTGTCTTGAAGAAATGCGCGCCTGAACTGGCGCCCGCCCTCTTTAAACTATATAACTACTGCCTCAAGGAATCTTGTTTTCCTGACTGTTGGAAGTCCTCTTCCATTGTTCCTGTTTTCAAGAACTCTGGCGACCCCTCTGACCCTTCTAATTACCGTTCTATCAGTCTCCTACCCCTCTTCGGCAAAGTCTTCGAAGCTCTAATCAATACCAAAGTGGTTAACCATCTTACATCCCATGATCTGCTCTCAGACAAGCAATATGGCTTCCACTTTGCCCAATCTACAGCTGATGTGCTTATGGCCATCACTGAAACTGTCTACCAAGCTCTTCAAAATAAGAGCAAGCTCCAGGGTTTGACCTAATACAATAATTCCTGACAAACCATGAATTGAAGGTCGTTCTCAATGGATTCTCCTCCAGTTCCTTTCCCACAAATGCAGGTGTTCCTCAAGGCTCCATCCTAGGCCCCACTCTATTCCTTATCTACATAAATGATCTTCCTGATGCCATAAATTCCCAAGTTGGCATCTACGTGGATGACACCACAATTTACACCTGCCTCAAAAACAGCTCTAGTGTTGCTGACAAAACTAACCTGGTCATGCGTCTTGAAAAGGACCTCCAATCGGTTGTGAACTAGGGCAGGAATTGGCTGGTCAACTTTAATGCGTCAAAAACAAAACTGCTCTCTATTAATCACCACAGAGATCCTTCCCTGCCCTCCATTAGAATGTCTGACACTCAACTTCATGAGAGCACCTCTCAGCGGCTGCTCGATCTCATGTTGACTGCTGACCTGAGATGGAACAAATACATTGAGTCAATTGCTTCGTCCACCACAAGGAAAGTTGGCTTCCCAGAATCGATCCTTCAGATCTACAAATCAACAATTCGCCCTTGCATGGAGTATTGCTGCCATATATGGTCTGGAGCCCTTTCTGTTTGCCTCGGGGTTCTTGATAAGCTCCAGAGGCGGGTATGCAATATAATTGGCCCTGTTCTGGCATCTCATCTACAGTCACTCTCTCACAGACGTGTTGTCGCCTCTCTCTGTCTTTTTTACAAATACTACTAAATGTAGCCATCTCTTCTACTCCAATAGCTTCATGTCTCACACCTCTCACCTGTGGAACTTCCTTCCCTATTCCAATTTCCCTGAGAGCTATAATCTCCAACTATTCAAATGTAATGTCAATCAACATCTCCAGTTGCCTTGATCTATCCACTATCCTTCTCCTCATCTTTTCCTCTATCACACCTATCTGATCTTGCTCCAAATCTTCTGTAACCCCTTGCGTCCTAGTGGCTTTCCGCCTTGCTTGGGGTGAAACGCTTAAAAAAAAAAATATGATACTAATAATCTTATAAATATAAGCAGCTGTACTCATCCAGCAAAACATTAGGTGTTTTAGCCTGTAAATGAACAAACCAATGCCCAAGGAAAAAAAAAGGGTAAAAAAAGAAAGAACTAAGAACATGTACTTTAAGCGAAAATAATCGTCTAGAATCTAAGTTCAGAGTCCAAAGAAAAAAACCTCCGACACGAGTAAAGTAAAAATAACTAAGCAAAAAGTGCTCAATACAATAAGTAGAGCAAACTAAGTAAACCTAAAGAGCCAGACAAACCTACCTAGGTTTCACCTATGCAGATATATATAGTGAATGGATGAATAAAAAGTTCAATAACTTATCTTCTGACTCAGTTTTACTGACACAGGTCTACTCATCAGTATTAAATAAATCTATTGAATTCATTAAAAGATATCACATTTATTTTAAATTCATATTATAAGAATGGAAAAAGCAGGTGATATCTGTTAATAAATTCAAGAGATTTTTATTATCTTGACAAGTGAAATTTCTGTCTGCGAACTTGCAAGTTAAAATCTTTTTTATAAAATGTCTATATATTAATACAATTTTGAGATAATGTATTCTATATTTCATTCCAAAAGTAATTTCTAGTGGGTAGTGTAATGGTTATCATCAATGAAATTGGAATCTGAAAGCTGAGTTCAAATTCTGGCTTTTCTATTATATTTATGCATACTTGGGGAAAGGCATGAATTCATTCCTTCTCTTCCCAGCTATATGTTAAATAATAGGGTAGACAGGGTTTTCTAGACTTGGGAAAACTCTGAATTTCAAACTGGAGAGGGCAACAGAAAACCAGTTCACTATCTTTCATAAGAATGCATTGCAATTGATAAATAATAATGATTGTCTGTCCTGAAGGAACAGATGGGCATTTAAAAAAATTGTTAATATCTCTGAAATAGCAGCTACAGGATCGTTAGGCCAAGTAGTTTATACCATTTTGAAGAATCTGGCAAACATTTCTTAGCAATATATAAAATGATCTACGTTTGTTAAAATTAGTACTGTCAATATTTTTTTTTATATATTTGTTTGTTTCTTTTTATATTTGTTTACTTTATTTCAGACTAGCAGTAGAGGCCGGCTTTGCCCGGGGATGTAACAGTAAGAGATAGATCAAGTATCGACCATCATGAAGATTGAAAAATAAAATTGACAAAGATTATTGTTTAAGGTTGACGGACACGCATGTCTTGATTAGTTTTTTTTTTTTTAAGTATTGGTCAAAGCCAAACTCAAATAACAACATTGTTTTCAATCGTTATGAGTCTATCGATTAAATAGAGTTTTATTATAAACAATTGTCTTGTAAATGGAATTTTTAAAGCATTCTGAATGTAAAAATAAAGAAAAAAGTGTGCAAGACAATAAGAAACACTACCTGCCAAAAAAAAGTGAAGTTTTGTTGAAATTGGTTGAAAAATGTAGGAAATCCGATCCCATATATGAATGAACACATACACACACACACAAACAACCTGGGTTTTATAATAAATATAACACGATATGAGTTGTCCCCCTTTCTTTCTGGTGACAGAATCGTGTTTTATCGTGTTTTCAAATAGATTTCATGCAAAAACAATTTTTTTTCCAATTTTTGGCACTGTCAGAACCACCGCAAGGTAATTTTATGCAGCCCTGTGAAGTTTTGTTGAAATCGGTTGAAAAATGTAGGAAATCTGATCCAATATATAAATGTACAGACACACACACACACACACACACACAATCTGCATTTTATAATAAGTAAGATTTTATTTGCTTCGTGTGTGACTAAAAATGATTGGTTCACTATGTTGTGCTAGACAATCTTTCTCGCCAGAATCTTAGATATCTACCGTTTCTCCTTGCTTTGAATATTGCTGCCACATCTGATCTGATGCATACTTGGGGAAAAGGCATTAATTCATTCTGCTATATATTTAGAGATTCTTGATAAAATCCAAAGAATCTGTAATGTTATTGGTCCTGACCTGGCATATTGGCTTCAGTCTCTTTCCCACCACTGTAATGTAGCTTCCCTGTACTTTTCCTATAAATACTTTCATGGTAATTGTTCTGATGAACTTTCTGCTATGTTGTTATTTTTATTCCCCACCCCCACAGACAAATTGTACATATGGGAATAAGTTAGGACTTCATAGAGACTATGAGTTATTATGGTGGCTGTAGTAAGAATGGTAAGTAAAAATGTGATTGTTTGATGTAAGGAATACTGTGGTATATTTGGGTCAGTAATTGTGTCTAGGTAGGTTTAAGATAAGACAAATTGAAGATAAGCCTTCCCTATTCCCACTTTTGGCCTTGTGCCACATTTTTGTATTTTCAAAATAAATATTACTTTCTGCTATGGTACCTAGATTTTATATGAATTTAAGTGCAGTACTAGATTGGTGGCAAGGTCTCATCATTTTACCATTGAAATGACTAGATATGACCATAAATTCTATGTTAAGTTTCTTCTATCGCATTTCTCATTTGTGGAACTCTCTTCCAGCTTCTTGCTTTCCAGTCAATTTTGATCTTCAAAAATTTTTAATGCAATGTCAATCGTTATCTTCTATCTTCTTAATTCTTGTTCTTCTATTGTCCTCTCTTCTTAATATTAGTTTTTCTTGTACTTTCTAACACTCAGTAATTCGTTGCATCCTAGTTAGCTTTATTGCCTTGTTTGGTGTGAAATGATTTTAAAAAAATAGAATTAAGTGGATAAATATTAAGAGGCAAGACAGTTTCAATAATTTTGTCACTCTGTTTTATTCTTTCTAGCTTAATGTTATGCGTTTTTTAAAGTATCGTTTTCCAAAGCTTTGCATTCCATATGAACTGTACTTTCAACAGCAACTAATTCTACCCAGTGTGAGTAGTTAATTAAATATTCATGCCAGTCTACAAGTGGATGCTCTGTTCCAACATTGTTGTCCATGCCTGGAACAGTTCTTCTAAAATGTCATGAAAGACAATTGAAGTACGACTCTATTGAGGAAAAGGCAGAATATATTGAAGGCGATTCTCATTTGTTTTCAGAATGGCAAGGAAACAATCGTATCTCAGTGAGATCTTGTTCCTGCTGGTCATGTGCAAAACAATCTTTCTGAAATGTAAGACCCAGTCTTGCCTCCTCAAAACCTAAATTTTGTTTTATTACAGTCTTCTGTTATTATGACTATGAAGTTGGTTCATTACAAGTAGTAAATAATACAGTCTCTAGAAGGAAAATATTTCTTTTTTAATTATTTACATGAAAGGAGAATTTCAACATCAACCGTTCTTCTCTCACTCTCCATTTTTATCTTCCATATTTCTTCCTTTCTTCTCTCACTCTTTTTTGCTTTCTATTTTTCTCTCTTTTACCTCCCTCACTGTTACATCCTTCGCTTTTTTTCTCTCTGTCTCTTTTTTCTCTCTATCTCTCTTTTCTTCTCTCTCTGTCTCTCTTTTTTCTCTCTCTGTCTCTTTTTCATCCTCTATTGCTTTTTTATCTCTCACTCTGTCTCTTTTATCGCTCTCTCTATCTCTTTTTTATTTTGTTATCATATTTATTTTTCTCTTTTGATTTCGCTATCTCTCTTTTTCATTTTCTCTCTTTTTCATTTTCTCTCTTTTTCATTTTCTCTCTTTTTTTCATTTCTCTATCTCTCTTTTTTCATTTCTCTATCTCCTTTTCACCTTTTTCATTCTTTTCATTTCTCTCTCACTCTATATCTTTTCTCTCTCTCATTTCTCTCTCTCTCTTTTTCTCATTTCTTTCTCTCTTTTTCTCTTTCTTCTCTCTTTCTCTTTTCTTTCTTCTCTCTCTTTTTCTCTTTTCTTTCTTCTCTTTTTCTCTTTTCTTTCTTCTCTCTTTCTCTTTTCTTTCTTCTCTCTCTCTCTCTTTTCTCTCATTTTTATCTTTCTCTCTTTTCTCTCATTTTTATCTCTTTCTTTTTTTCTCATTTTTATCTCTCTCTTTTTCTCATTTCTTTCTCTCTCTCTCTCTCTCTCTCTCTCTTTCTTCTCTCTCTCTCTCTTTCTTTTCTCTCTTTCTCTTTTCTTTCTTCTCTCTTTTTTCTCTGTTTTATCTCTCTTTCTTTTCTCTTTTTTGGTATTCCTTAACACTATATCATGAACTTTGTCTTGAATCCTTTCAGCATTACAATGTCGTCACCTCTGACCTCTTCTGCACAACTAGTTGAAAATAAGGAGAAGTGGGAGATACACTGAATGCAACATAAGATACACAGTAAGATACCATTAAGAGTTTAAAATAGCCATAAATTACTTGCTTCGTATTGCCAGGATTATGCCAATAAAATAATAGGCCACAAAGACAAACAGCATTTGCAACATTAGTGACGTGGATAAAATTAATGTAATAACACTTTCCTTAACAACATAATTACATTTAATTTGAAGAATTGAAATATTTAATTTTAACTTTTAAACATTTTTAAAAGCACTTAATGTTATCCCTGTGGAAATCACTTAACAAATATCATTCTTGTAATTTGTACTTCCTGACAAGTTTGGTATTCAAATCATTTGACAAGTATTGGCATTTTTCCACAAATGCTCTAAAGCTTTCTCTTTTCATAAGCAGGTGAAAAACAGGTGCATGAAACAGGCTTTTATAATTTACCTGACACCAAAAGGTATGCACTTTGAAGAAAATCTACAGGATTGTAATAAACACAAATTTAATATTAGCAAGGTGACCCTGTCTTTACTTGTGGGAAGCAAATTTACGGTCTATAACCCATAGAGAATGAGGTGTATAAATAAGATAATGGAGGAACCTGAAACACACACAGACACACTATTTTATATATGCATACATTATTTATTTATATATATGTAATATAGCAACAACTCTAAGTAGAATCTTATGAAACTTTATTTAAGTAATTCAGCCTTTGCGCTGAAAACATTTATTTTATTATAGTGGATTGTTACAAGTGAGAAGGGAGATGGGATGTATTTATTTTATTATCACAATAATATAGCATAGCTTAGATATAGGTCGAAAGTAGGGAGCACCCAGTGAAGATCAAACTTGCTATTCAGTCATAATTGTTTTAGTGAGACAAACTTGCTAACCAATACACTGCCTTGAGATGTCCAAAATAATATATATATATATATATATATATATATATATATATATTGCCGTCATTGTCATAAATTTTACTTAAATAATATTCAAATATATATTTAAAAAAAAAAATTGTGACCTAATAATATACATACTTATACTTGATGTGAAAATAATTCTACATACTGTAAGTGATTCTAATGCATTTACTTGTTCTTAAAAGAAATATAGTATATTAAAAATTAAAAGTGAAAATATTTTTCAAATCGTAGTTAAATAAAACGTATTCTAACCTAAATACATCCCAAAAATCTTTAAATATACAAACAGAAAAAAATACTGTAAGAATTTTTGCCGTTAACAATAAAATTTAAAAAAAATCCAGATGACATGCATTTAACGGATGTCAGATTTCATTGAAAAATACATCCCTACCCCTATCAAAACGTAACTAATAACTGATACATCAAAATACAGCGATAATGAACACGCAAACACCCCTAGTCTGGTTGAATGGATTTCTCTGTAATCTTGGAAACGTGAATTATGATTTTTACTGTATCTTTAAAACCCAGTAATTTTAATATGAGACATTCTGTTTGTGTGTTGGCCAACACACAAACAGAATGTCTCATATCGAGAATATTCCACATTGAACATGAAGAAAAATTAATTATTTTTAATAATATGTAAAAATCTCCACTTTCACCTGAAGACGGTTGCGAGACCAGATCAGAAACACGTGTCGTGAAATTATGTAAAACAAAGTATAATAATTTTTTCTCAATAAATCCACATTACAACCAAAAACGTTTGCGGCACCCCTCTTCTTTTTAATATACATACTTTTCTCTCGTTGGAACCACTACAACATATTTCTTTTATATATATATATATATATATATATATATATATATATATATATATATATGTGCAGTGCGTATATTGCCAAGTGGTCAGAATGTTTTCTTTCTGACCATGACACTGAGGTTCAAATCTCACCATGGGCGATTTGTCAGGAAGGTAAATCTTCTTGATGCTCTTGTCCTGGGGTAATGATTCCAGTGCACAGCACCTTTAGAAAAGTGATTGAAAACCATATATAGGTTGACCAAAACTTTGTGAGTTAAATTAAATAGATAGAACTGTTTGGAGGCTGTAAATGATTGTGCTAGTATGAAGTCACAAGTCATCATGATTGAAGATTTGTGCATACTAATGTTGTTCAAACTGATGATCACATCAGTTTATGCATTCACTCCCAGAGACTGTAATTAAGATCTGCTCAGCATAGTTGCAGTATAAACCACAGGTTGGCTCTGTTGGTGTTGACAAAACACACATGTGCCTTTATTATACCCAAGAGAGTAAATTTCTCCTTCAGGTTTTAGCTTATTATTTTGTTTTGTATTAATTCTTTTATTGTTTTAGACATAGTTGTAAAAAATTTTATATTAAAATTCTTCTAAAATTCTTTCCAATTATAGTTTGTCATAGATTTCCCAAAAACTGTTCTTGTTATATGAAATTTTATATATTAGTTTTCAATATATAAAATATATAAAAATAATGTACAATTGTTTTATTTAATTATATATTCACCATTATTTGCAGAGCCTTGTTGCCACTCATCAAACAGCTCTTAAATACATCTAATGTAAAATTTCCTAGATTTTGATGCAAAAGTTTCAACAAACTCTTGAATCTTGTTTCCATTAAAAAAATCTCCCTTATCCAAGCGTTTTGCAATAATTGTAAAACACCATAATTGTTTGGCACAAGGTCAGGTGAAATGGTGTGAACAGACAGTTCCAAAATATTTTCCAGTGTTATCATTGCTGCATACAATCTTGCATTTTCTTGGAAGAGAACAACATTGTACATCATTAGTATGTTAGTATGCTCCAAATTTATTCATAACTGCCATCTATAATTAGTAGTTAAGATGATACATTTGTCATGAAAATTGGTTTGCAAAAATGGTAATTATTTATGCATTGACTGTGTGTGTGTGTGTGTGTGTGTGTGTATATATATATATATATATATATATATATATATATATATATATATATATATATATATATATATAAGACCTCTTATGTAGCAATTTGGAATCATATTTTTAAATAAATAATTATATATATATATATATATATATATATATTTATTTATTTTTTAAATAGAGTGTATCTGTAAAGGAAGTAACTGAATAAAAAGAAAAATGAAAAACTATTCTTAGCCAACATGTTTCGTCCTCTAAGGGACTTTATCTGAGCTATGTAGGATTTATTTTGTTGCATGTCTTTATATATAAAAGCAAGGATGTCATTGATTTATCAAGGCTTTTAAATTTGAGAGTGTTCATGATTATTAAAAAGCCAGTCAAATATATATATATATATCACTCCCCCTCATACTTACACTTTCTCTAAATTCTGTTTTGATTTCCGGAGTTGTTTTTTTTTTTCTGTTTTCATTTTGAATTTGTAGGTCTGATGATTTGGATCGTATTTACGATTCCAATGGAATAAATTATGACCATGGAATATTAGTGTTTAAGCCTTTTTATTATATATATATATATATATTTTAAGGAATTTTCTAATGAAAAGCAATACATTGTACTCAACCAATGCATAAGAGTTATGTGATAGTAAAAAAAATTTGTTGTTTGTTGATACGAAGTAAACAAGAGTATCAGTCCATTCATGTATTTATGTTTACATTGTAACTAATATATTCTTTCTGTAACCAAATGTGAATCATTTGCCAAAGGAACTATGATAGACTTTTTTTTTTTTAATCATTTCACCCCAAGCAAAGCAATAAAGCCATTAAGATGCAAGGGGTTACTGAGTGTTAGAGAATATAAGAAAAAAATACTCTTAAGCAGTGAGAACAATAAAATAACAATAATTAAGAAGACAGAAGATAATGCACTTAAATTTTTGAAGATCAAAGTTGACTGGAAAGCAAGAAGCTGGAAGAGGGTTCTGCAAGCGAGAAGTGCAATAGAACAAACTGTTTGCATAGAACTTACAGCTACATTGAATCATTTCAACTGTAAAATGATGAGACCTAGCTGCCAATCTAGTACTGTGCTTGAATTTATAAAGTCTATGTACCATGGAGGAAAGTTCATAAAAACGATTACCATGAAAATATTTATAAAGAAATATAGGAACTATATAAAAAGGGTATATAAATACACCATTTAATATAAAATGAATTTGGTGTTCAAAAAGTGCCAGGATGTAGCCATCATCCCTTGCTTCCAATTCTGACATTTTGTTACCGATAATGATCAAGATACTTGAAAGTACTCAATGAAGATTAGAAAAAAAAGTTTACCCACAATTTTGATCAGTATATGCAGTAACTTATTTGGAAAAATGCAAGAAAAATTTAATCAGTTGGATTTAATTCCAAATCTGATTTCAGAGCCTACACACTCCTGTTGGCTTACCCCCACCCCTTGATTGACCATGTCTTCAGGAATGTAGCTGTACTCATCACATGCTTAGCCAATTATGGATTGGTGAAGCTATTTAACCCATAGTTAGGGAGGAGTTCAACTAACCCATTTAAAAGCTCTTTTTTTGTGCTGTTGGGGTTCCACTTAGCTTTCTCACTAGATCACTCAGGTTTTGAATTTAGACTTTTCCTTCTCCTAGACCAGTTGCTATCCAAGGCTATAGGACCCAGTCTGTCCTACTTTTTACCTATATTTAATATGACTTATTTAAATATTCATAATATTGTACAATATTAAAGATCCTGTTAAAAACTGCAGTAAATATTCCTGTGATATTTTAATAAAAATGAAGCACAGATAAAGTCAGTTTGAGAATTAAAACTTTTTTTTATATAAATTGGAAGAACGGAATTTTAAATAGACATGTTGATTCAATTAACAACATGACTGATTTAATATTGATAAAGGATATTAAAAAATGTCTACATGCCATGGTGTTTCATTACTTCTACACAGCTCTGGCCAAGCAACTTAACTAATTTGTTA